AAGAAGCACTTACGGCTGGGACTCTACGACCCTCAAGATGAATTCTGCTTTACCAAGCTCATGAAATAAAAATGTCTCTGACTGACAGGAAAGAAATGTCTCTGCACTAGAATTTTAAAGTATAAATCTGATTTGATTTATTTGAGATCTTAAGCATAACTTTAAAAGTGTTAAGAAGCCACAGCTGTTCTATACCTCTTTAAATTCTAATCACTTTTCTATTGCATGTTTGGGCAGGGTATTTGCCCAAAATATGTATATTTAAAAATAGGCCTTTTTTTTTTTTCTATTTCAGTATAAGCAAAAAATTAGAGATCGATGTGTTTAATTTAAGGGGAAAAAATTCTGTATACATGTGAATATGTCTCAAAGTTATTTACTAACGAGAAGTTCGAATTTAAAGGGACACTATAGTCATCCAGACCACTTCAACTCAATGAAGTGGTCTGGGTGCCAGGTCCCTCAGGTTTTAACCCTTCAGATGCCTAATGCGCATGCGCAGCAAGGGATGAGAGCGCATTGGGCCATCCTATGGGGATTCCTCAGTCCTAAAAGTAGCCTACCCACCAGAAAGTGCCTGATTGACAGCCACTAAGGGCAGTCTTAGTCCTGCAATGTAATTATTGCAGTTTCTCAAAAACTGCAATGATTCACATTGCAGGACTAAGGAGGACAGGGACACTACATTCAAACCACTTCAATTAGCTGAAGTGGCCTGGGTGCCCGTAGTGTCCCTTTAAATTCACAGCAATTCTCACTTTCGTGAATAACAGAGTTATTAAGTAAATCGTGCATTCTTTAGAGAATTTCAAAGTTCAAGCTAAAATAGTCAAATTAGAAAAACTCTCACAATTCAGCATGGCTGAAATGTGAAATTTGCTTTGAATTTTCAAGATGTAAGAAGATGCCCAAACTTCATTAAAAACCGAATCTACCAGCCAGTATATATCACAGTTATTGTGTGTCTGTGTAAAATGCAAACATCATATGTTGTAATGTAGACAACTCTTGATTTCTTTGTGTTTCACTCTCTAAACAAAGTATTTGCCTTCAAGCTCTTTGAAATATGTCCAGATCACAATGTGTGTTTATGCAGAATGCATTTAACAAGGTAAAACATTCTTGGGAGACAATTCAGAATCTATAAGGTCTTAAAGAAGAGCTATGAGAAGAGAAAGACATTTTTGAAATGGTTTGACAAGTAACCTTGCTTCCTCTGGTTCCCCATGGCAGTGTCCCTTTTCAGGTCTTCTCTAGAAGCAGGGAATCAGCTGTGCATAGCTGAACAGACACATGTGACATCTGCTGCAGACGAAGACCGAATGTGACGCTGGCAACTGGTGGACCCAGATAAGTTGTCAAACCATGCTGAAATGGTTTAGCAGATTACACTGGGACAGAGCCAGGCAAATCCTCGCACCTTAACTAGTGCGCAGGCTGAAGTGGTTTGGGTGCTTGGAGTGTCTCAAAACATTTTACATATACTGTACACAAATTAACACCAAGGGTTTTATTAAGAAGAACTGATTAGACTGCAGTGTTTAGGCAAAAACAGGGAAGTTAAAAGCTCATAGCTGATCTATATCGACATGTTAGCTAATGATCCCATGTTAATCAATTACATAAATTAAATTAGATTAAAAGGCAAATAAGCACTGGAACTAAAATCAAACTTGTAAAATTGATAAAGGGGAATTGTCACATCTCTAGAATTTGCACCATTGAATAAAGCATTAAAAATTGACTATGACTTGGGTTAACATTAGACACTCGGGGGACAATATAGTCACCCATACCACTTCATCTCAATTGGACTGTTCTCGTGGAATGTCCCTGTCCTTTTAACTTTGTAATGTAAAAAGCTGAGTAAAATCATTACCTTCAGGCTTTTTTCTGTAAACACTGTCTTTTCAGAGAAAATGCAGTGTTTATATTACAGCCTAGTGATAACTTCACTGGCCACTCCTCAGATGGCTGTTAGAGATCCTTCCTGGGTCATGGCTGCCTAAAATGCATCCAAACATTCAGTATCTCCTCCCTCTGCATGCAGACACTGAACTTTCCTCATAGAGATTCATTGATCCAATTCATCTCTATGAGGAGATGCTGATTGGCCAGGGCTGTGTTTGAATCATGCTGGCTCTGCCCCCGATCTGCCTCTTTGTCAGTCTCAGCCAATCCTATGGGGAAGCATTGTGATTGGATCAGGCTACCTCTTCTGATGATGTCAGCAGACAGCTTGTTTTTCTGAGACAAACAGCATGCAGAGTTACAGCTTCTGGCTTGAATACAGTAAGATTTTGCTATATTTATGGAGCCATGGGGGGCTAGATGGTGGTGTTAACACTATAGGGTCAGAAATATATGTTTGTGTTCCTGACCCTATAGTGATCCTTTAAACTGCTCGAAAATGGTTTAACAATGACTGGAGAAACAACGCCATGAGACACTGCGTACTCTAACCAATTCAGGGTATTGAAATGATTATAATAATGAAATGATCTTAGTGCCTAATTAGAGAAAAATGAAAAACATTGTTTAATTTCTCCTCTTCTATGTTTAGTTTCTGTATGCTAGCCAGGTGGAAGGGCCAATAGATAACAATGACTGACAGGAAACAAAGATGGATACATATTTATCTACAATAACCACAATATTAAAATCCTCTAAAGTGACAGTTACTGGAACAAATGCAGGATACACAATACCTGAACACCCGGTTACCTTAAAGAAACACACACATTGCAATGTCCATATGGAACATAAAACGACATTAACGAGCTCCAAAGCAATAAAAACATCCACGGAATTGGTCACTAAACTCTGTGTTTTAGCAAACTGAAATCTGAATTGCAAAAAAAGAAGGCTAACGTTTCCAAGCTATGACTATGTGCTACAAACAAACGTTTAGTAAATCCTAACGTGCGGTAATGTGCTTTGCAGACTCCTATTACTGAATATCTATATGACAGACAGCAATTTTAAACTAGCAGAGCCCCCTCTCCGTGATTGGGTTCTAGATCCGTTCCTGTGAGCCTAATGGGAAACGTAGTTCACAAGCATCTGCGCTGTCAGAGTTAGCCATCACGAAGATTAATCAAATGCCTTCCAATTAGACGTCTCGTCATCCATCCATCTGCAGTCAAGTGTTCGAGGTTTGAAATACCCACTTTTTAATGTTCTCTTTTTTTGCTATCCTCCAGTCTTATTTACATTTTCAGTCCAATAATCTATATTCTCATTTCTGTGCCTATTTGGTTCTTTTTTTTATATCTTTGTTTATCAATATTACCAGTTTGTTTCTATGTTTACTCAATTTTTCCCATTTCTCCATCCAGTAGTCTCTGTCCCCCATTTTTAGGGTGCTTTCCCTCTTTACCCCATTACTGTTCTTTTCCTCTACCAATTCTGTTCTCTCCCTAAACCAGGGCTGCCGAACCGCTAGATCCCCTGATGTTGTAGAACTACAACTGCCATGATACTTTGTAGTTCTAAAAGCATTCTAAAGGAATGCAGAGCATCATGGGAGTTGTAGTTCTACAACATCTGGGGATCTACTTGTTGGGCAGCCCTGCCCTAGACTCTAGACTCTCCCAAACCCGGATCCAGCCCGTGTCCAGTCTATTAAGCTGTATTTGAGTACTATGCACCACATAGAACACATACAGTGTGAAACACATTCAACAAGCAGTAATAATCACTGTTGCCCCTCTGACTTCTTTCTGATACTCGTTTTCTAATGTATTAAATACAAAATGCATAATAAAAAATTAAAAACAAAAAATAAAAATGACAATTTTTAGTCTATTCTGGTTCTCCTACTACACTGGAAACAGCAGCCGATATTTATGGAAGTGTAGTCTAAACCTACAGTTCCATTTATCACGTAGGATGATTGGAGCTGCTCAAGTAACTGACAGCAACATTCCGTGCCTGTTCACAGCCCAGTTTAATGTTTTGTGAACCAGTTTGTGTGCTGTGATCTTCTGAGGCCACAATCCACAAGACCGCAGATCAGGCTTTCAACGGAGCTGAGGGGAGGAAGGGATAGGTGTATGGCCACATTGTGCTTGTCCAGTGCACATACTGCGCTCACATGGATCTTGATTGGCAACGTAGATAGTAAACTTCCAAAGTTGTTATGGTACTTAGTGTATCCTTTAAGTTTTAAGCAAACTTTGCCTTCTTTTAGATTCTCTCCTTATTACTACTGCTTTCCTTTTTAGAGTTTCTTCCTAATACCTCTCATACCATTTAGTGACGCTCCATAATTCAAATTCCCCGGTACCATTTATCTTCCTAATACCCCTCCTCAAATGTTCAGTGTTTCCCCATATTCTCTGTGATGCTAGAAAGAGCACTAAATGTCATGCTACTGTGACTTGACCATAAGTAGTTTTAAGTCTCTGCTTATTAGTGATGGTCAGGCAGCTTACTGTCAGTGGGCCTGTCGTGGACTTCTCTAAACTACGCAGCAGACCTGTAAGTGATAATTTACCCAGGATGCTCTGTCTTCCATAGAACACAAGGAGTTTTTGGAAACAGATTCGAAAGCAATGTGGACCATGGGCCTATATTAGCATAACTAGAAGCTGGCTAACAATGATGGTTTCAAGTCATACCACCCATAACTAGATGCACCCACTCTTTATCTTTCCACCAGAACAGTAATGACTAATTTAGCATGCAGGATGTTTGAGAACATTTCATGATGCTCTGAGATGGTAGGATTCACTACCACTTCTTTTGTAATGGGAGATACCGAAGTTCTAGAGAAGTCTGAAACCTGTGACATCATTCGATCATTCTTCTGACCGTCTGTACCCAACCTTCATTCTTTTCCCAACTATAATTTCAGAGACAATATTGTATAACTGTAATGGTTATTTTTAAATAGTGATTTAGATTCAAGACATGCCAAGCTTTAACAAAGGGTTTATTTGTTATAAGATATTGTGTTACTTGTAAAAAAAAGGTAATAAATTACCCTTGAAGAATCCGTATGTTATCTATGACATTCATGGTCCCAAGACGCCCACGGCAGCTGTGTTTTGGCTCTAATGGGAGTCTATAACCTGAATAAAGAGGAACCGGGAGTTCTTTTGAAAGTACTTTGTAATCTTTATCATAGTACTTGCCATTTTTGCCTGTTTTAGAAAACTATAGGACTGGGTCCACATTATAATGGGAAATCCCTATAACCATCAAAATAAAAAGACGCATTATCTTAGACATATCTAAATTTCAAATCGGTCTCCATTGCACCGGGGAAGTCAGTGTTTCTACAGTAAAGCCGTAATTGTGGGCAGTTGCCTAGGGCAGGGGTAGGCAACCTTCGGCACTCCAGATGTTGTGGACTACAACCCCCATAATGCTCTTACACCCATAATGCAGGCAAAGCATCATGGGAGGTGTAGTCCAAAACATCTGGAGTGCCGAAGGTTGCCTATGCCTGGCCTAGGGCCTAACAACTGACCCTGTTCCAAACAATAAAGACTTAATAAACTGACATGAGGACCTAAAGTTGGGCCCAATCCCAGCATTTAAAAAACAATTCTCAAGGTGTATACAAAGCTGATGTATAATAAGATGGCTTTCTATAGATGTGTATGACTTCATATTATTATACGACGATGTCAATGTATGCAATGTGAACAGGTTAACAGGCACTAGAGTTTTGTCCTTTCAGGCATTTTATTTATTTTTTTCACGTCATCAATGAGAATTTCACCAACCTGCCTTAAATCAAATTACAAACCTGCAGTGTCTTTTCTTCTGGACAAGGAGCTTTGTGACTCCAGCCATTAATCCATTTAAGTCCATCATTGGAATGCCACTGCCATTCTTATCTGGCATATACTATAAATTAACGAGTTACTGTATACATGTATGAGAGTTGGTGAATATAGGATGGGATAATATAATTGTCCATGGACTGGCAGCTGATATATAGGATTGCATATTAGAAATGTCTAACTGACAATGCCTATTGAATTATTGAAAGATCATATACCATCCTTAAAAATAGAATTATTGAAGGATTGCTCTATAACTAATTTGGACAATTTTTTTTATGGCAATGCTATTCTTTCTTTGGAAAAATTGAAGCTTAAGTATGGATTGTCGAATGCATGTGAACTGGAATGTATGATAATCATTGATAAATTGAAAGAACTATACCAGGTACCTGAAACAGATAAAAATTATAAATCACTTGAGATATCTCCTTTAGAGAAAGTTATTTTATACAGCCCCGCTAGTAAAGGTATGATATCCTTATGTTACTTATCTCATAATGCCAAGCCCTTAATTAAATTAAAACATATGCTGTCATGGGAGACGGAGTTGGGTGCCCAGTACGATTTAGAAGAATGGTTCGGTTTCTTTACAGGTTTAAAAGGTATTTCGTATTGCACCGACCATTTTGAAAATCATTATAAAATCTTATATCGCTGGTACCTGGCTCCGTCTAGATTACATAACATGAACAATATGTATTCTGACCGGTGTTGGAGAGACTGTGGGGGAGTGGGCAATATGGCCCATATCTGGTGGTTCTGCCCCAAGTTAATTAATTATTGGAAAATGATCCACGATCTGATTATTAAAGTGAACGGAACCATTAGTATCTTAACCTCGGAACTAGCCTTATTTAAAAAACTCCCGGAGTCCGTTAATAGATCGGATAAAATAATCATAGGCCACATTCTGATCGCTGCTACATCCTGTTTACCTAGACATTGGA